AATTGTTCCACCGCTGGGGTGCTGCAGCCCACCAGGGAGAAGGGTGCTGGCAGTGTGACTAGAAGCAATGCAGCAAGAAATCTCACTGGCTGAAACAACAGCTAGATTCAGCCTTATTTTGAAGGGCAAAAATATTTAATTTCCTGCCATTTTATGCCTCTCTGCATCTCCTAGATCCTCACGGCAAAGCTGAAGTGCAGCACAGTTATTCTCACCTTATTATCTACCTAAGCAGAAGCAGGACATCTCTGCAGTCTCAGAGGAGAGCACTTTCTGAGCAGAGATTTTATGGCTCAGCTTTGCAGTTCTGAGAACCTGGGTGAGGCACAGAGCTTAAGGCCGGAGGGATCACCACCTCATCTAGTCAGACCTTCTGCATATCACAGGCCACCAGCAGCCACACACCAGGCCCGGCAACTAAAATGAGACCAAAGTATTTTAGCCAATAGGAGACTAGACTATTGCGTGCAACAGGCAGAGAATAGAAGGGACAAAGAGGCACCACTTCCCCAAACCTTGGCACCTCTTGAAGTCTCCTCATCCCTGGATTTTGCTTCTGTACTCAAGGACAGTCCAGCAGGGAACAAACCAGAGAGATTATTGTCAAGTAACAAGTCTATGCTACCTAGGACTTCCTAGCTGTCACCATGAAAGAAGGGATGGAACTAAAGTCACCTCACTTTTAAAGATCAGCCCTCCTACTTTAGGGAAAAGAGATTCTGCAATATAGGGTTTATGATACAGCTGAGGAATACTAATTCCATTCAGTGGGGTCTGTCTGTCTATCCCTCCACTCCCCAGCCAAGCCAGTTCATTAAAATAAGTGGAATAGGTTGGATCTCCGTGCTCTGGCACCCTCGAGACCTGACTGGTCTTGAATGAGAGATTTTGCCGGACTGGAGTAGGTCATTTCTGGTGCTCTGGCCCAGCTGGACTTCCATGGCAGGGCTCCCACCTGCTAGCTCCCCCTACAGCCAGCCCAGCTGCAGGGTTTCTGCCTCTGGCCTTCCACCGGAACGCTCTGATCCAGCAACATCCGTGGTTCTGCTGGACCACAGATGTTGATGGACCAGAGGGTCCCGGTTTAGAGAGGTTAAAAAATAAGAACGGCCATACTGGGTCAGACCAAAGGTCCATCTAGCCCAGTACCCTGTCTTCTGACAGTGGCTAATGTCAGGTACTCCAGAGGGAATGAACAGAACAGGGAATCATCAGGTGATTCCTCGCTCCCCTCTGCCCATTCCCAGCTTCTGACAAACAGAGGCTAGGGACACCATTCCTTCGTTCCTACCTATCCTAGCTAATAGCCATTAGTGGACCTATTCTCCATGAATTTATCTAGCAAGTTCAACCTGTATTTATTCAAGTAGTCTGTGGATTCTTTTTTAAGATCATTAGGTACCTATGTAGGGGCAGTTACAGTCACAATGAATTGTCCTCCCATTTAGCCAGAGGCTGGGTTGAGTAAACATCAGGGCCTTGGTGTTCATACTAATCTGAAACACGTTATTTGGAAGAGTGCCTTGCTAGGGTCAAAAGATCTAGGAGTGGGATCCCTTGAATCAATGGAAGCTGGGCTGGGGGATTGAGAGGTACCACACTTGTCTCCGGTGAGCAGAGGCTGGGCAAAGCAGGCAACTCAACAGAGCCTTTCTCTCCTATAGAGTTCCTTTCAGCTGTGTAGCCCAAATTACTTTATAAGCATCACGGAAGCTCTCTCCCATCATGGAGGACAGCTGAGTAGAATCAGCTCAGTTTTACAAAGGCATGGACAGATCAATTGACTTGCTCAGAAAGCTTATAACAGGGGGATTAGAACCTAGAAGCTCTGGCTGCCCTGTTCCTAGCTTTAGCAACATTCCTCTGTCAGAGGTGGGTTTAGAAGCCAGGAGTCCTGATTCTTACGCTCTCATCGCTAGACCGTGCTACTTCCTCTTGTATATAGGGTTGCCAAATACCTTCACAAAAAATCTCGAACAGGCAGGGAAAAATTGGTTGAGCAAAAAAAAAAAAAAAAGCTGTGCTCCTTGCTTTCCCCACCCTCACAGATGCCGCCATCCATCCATCCAAGGAAAACAGAAAATACTGGACATTTTACATGTCCGGTATTCTCTCTCTTTTTTTTTTTTTTTTTTTTAAACCATATAGAAGGCCATAATACTAAACTGTCCAGACGAAAGCCGGACATCTGGCAACCCTGCTTGTATGCAGATCATCCCCTCGGAGCCAAACAGTGTGTACACTTTTTGACTTAGGGAGGATTCACTTTACCCACCCAGACAGTGGGTAGATCTGCTGAGAGTGAGACATCACAGCAGCTTTGTAGAAGCTTGCAGTGAGGATGAAAACCTTTAAGACCCCATAACTCTTGCAGTTAGTATCTTTGTAAAGGATACTCAGACCCATTAGGTTCTCCACCCTTGCATCTCTCCCAGCAGTTGTGGGAAGGGGAGTATCTTAAAAACAAGCAGTCATCTTTCAATAAATACCAAGTTTACAGTAACTCCCTGGCAGCAGTGCTGGGAATGGAGCCCTGCATTGTTTTATAGGAATTCCCAAAGAATTATTTGTTGAACCAGATGGCACAGGCCTGGGTAGCACCTACTTTGTGCTAATCGCTGCTGGAGTCCCTTCAGGGACTTTGGGGCCGAACTGACCCCATTGACGGTGGTTCTAGGGCAGAATTCTGGGATGGTAACTAATACATGTAGCTGCAACAAAGCCCTTTGGTGGCCTATGCAAATGGAGGATTCAGGCAACTAACTAGTCATATTTGTTAGCTGTTAACTAATCAGTCCTCAGATTTGGGGTTGTTTGGACTAAATGCATTTCAAAATGTAGGTGCTCTATCAGCTTTCAAAACATACTGCAAGACTAATTCTTTTGCCAAGAGTCTGGGGAGAGATGTATTTGTGGAGGGCTGGTAGCCCTGTCTTGATATTTGTACTGGTGGTAGGTAGCTTTTTTTCCCCTTTGCACATTTTGGGAGGTTCTTTTGTTTTCTTTGTTTGTACGAGTATTGTAAAGGTGTGTTTACTTGCAGTAGATTAATTAGAGCTGATGAGAAAATGGGTTTACTTTTTTCCAGTGATCAAAAACTTGTAGTTTCCATGGAAATTTGTTGTTTTGTTTCAGGACACAAACTTCTTTTAATCTCAGTTGTTTTGTTTTGGGTTTTTTGTTTTAGTTTTCAGATGCTTTGTTCCATCTTTAAGTATTTTGGCTGCTTTTTCCCTGGAAAAAGGAAGAGAAAGTTTAAAAACAAAAGTATGAAAAGGTGGGGAGTACCCCAGTCTTCTGAGTTTACTGTTTTCCAAATGGCAAAAGATGGAAACCAGACAAAGTGGGGGAAAGTTTTTCAAGTTGAAAAGCAATAGCAAAGTGTAAGAAAGTGAGGAAGAAAACACTTTTCTATGCTTTGTTGTAATTTTCCAATTGGTAGAAAGCAGAAAGTGGGGAGAAAGCTACTCTTTATTAAAAAAAAAATAATGGTGTGTCCTCCAAATTTTTCATTTTGAAAAATTTCACGGACAGATTTTTCTGTAAAATATTGTTTTTCCAATAAAACTTAGTTTCCTGCTAAAAAAGTTGTCAGATATTTTTGGACTAACTCTGATGTTATTCAGGCCTTCCATGTCTGGGTACTGTATAAAATTTCCTGATAAACAGAGGCGACACTACTGGGACTCAAGTTGTGTGGAAGCCTGTTTGTCTGTAGCCGTTTTCTATAACAAACTAGGGATGTAAAAGAGTAGTTGAATAGTGAACTACCCAATAAGTCTAGGCTTATCGGGTAGTTGAGCCAACTACTCGCATTCTATATACCCCCTTGCTGCCTTTATGTCAGAAGCAGCAAGAGGTGGGAGGGGAGCAGGAGCCAGTGGCTTAAAGGCCAGTTCCTCCCAGCACCGTCTCTGCAGTGCGGGGGGAGGGGGACAGAAGTGCAGCACGGGCTCGGCTCCTACTTCATTTAAACTGCAGAGCTTTAGCAGGGGTAGCAAGCACCCCCCTTATCGACTAATTGAGTAGTCGATGGAAATTCCATCAATTACGCGATTAGCCGCAATTACATTTAACATCCCCATAACAAACTCCTCCTGTTCAATATGTATGGTTCCATGTTTTATGACTAGTGCAATGGCTTTTTGGACTCATGGCAGATGAACCAAGAGCTACGGGTTGGTGTTTGTTTTTAATCTATTGTATAACGCTAAATAAATATAATAAAAACAAATATGGATAATGGAAACATCCATTCTTACCTTAAATAGGATAATTATTTCTTGAAAAAGAATATAAACTCTCTTACTTCAGGACCTAAGGCAGTCACTAAGACTATGTCTACATTACAAGGTTATTCTGAAATAACTTATTTCAAAATAATAACTCCAAAAAACCTATTTCGAAATAGCGAATCCACACTACAGGTAATCCTCAAAATTAGTCCAAGGCAGGCTCCCTTAATGTGGACACATTATCTCAATTTAGAGCCCCAGGAAGCACTGGGGAGTAACTACTTTGAATGACCCTGGGGAATAGTTATTTCGAAATAACATCAGCTGAGTGTCTACACTAACCCTATTTCAAAATAGGCATTATTCCTTGTAAATTCAGGGGTTGTTATTTTGAATTAAATAACAGGCTTGCTGTGTGGATGTGCATCTTGTTATTTTGAAATACCAGGAGTTATTTTGAAATAACTTTGCAGTGCAGACATGCCCTAAGTGATGGAAATTAGGGGGAAAAAACCTTTCCTGTGGGCAAATTCTTCCATAATTGCCCTCTAGAGGGTTTTTTGAACCTTTCCCTAAAGTACTTGGTATTGGCCACCATCAAAGACTGTAGGCTAGATAGACCACTGGTCTGATTTGGTATTCCTGTCTTATCTACTCCTCTGAACCATCCATCTTCGTTGATGTAATGTAAAGTGATTCCCTTGGCTTTGTGTCTGTTCCCTCCACACCACTGCTCCTAACCCATGCATTCCGTTTCTCTTCCAGAAAATGCTGCTCAAGAAGAACTGCGGAGCAAAAACAAGAGTTATTAAAATTCGTGTAAGTTGACTATTTCTGTTATGTTAGCAGATGTGTATGAAAGGATGACACTTTTTGAATCTCTACAAATGAGAGCTGGTCTGTGGAGGTTTCCTTTGGGGTGGGTTTTCCTTCGAGTCATTGGTCTAGAGGATTTTTCCAAGCATGGACTGTAATCAACATAATTGAGGCTTGGTGCTAATGCGATCATATGTTAACCTTTCCGCCCTGGAAACCTTGGGCTCAGATCTTGCTTAAAGTAAAAGTCTGTGGCATCCTGTAAATGCTTATGCTTACACAATGTCCCTTCTCCACCAGGAGGGGCCAAGGTCTGCAATAACAGAGTATTGCAGTCTGGGAGTGAGAGGCATTGGCTGGGATCTGCATAAGCCCAGATGCAGAATAGCAAGGAGTGTGGCTGCAGGTTAATAGCTGAAGGGAATTGTGTGGGACTCGGGACCGGAATAACCAGGGATGGGAGCAGCAGGTCAGGACTCTCTTAAGTATTTATGTGCCCTCTATTACCAGAGCATCTGAGTGCCTCACATTCTGTATAAACATATCCTGACAACACCCTAGTAGTGTAGGGCAGTGCTATTAGCCCCACTTTACAGATGGGGAGTTGAGGCCCAGAGTGACTTGCACAAGGTCAGCCAGGAAGTTTGCAGTAGAGCAGAGGATTGAACCAGGTTGCCAGTGCCCTTACCACTGGACCATGCTGCCCTTCTCTAAGTGGGCAATGGCAATGAGGTCCATTGGCAGAGCTTCATGGGAGGGTTTGTACAATACTCTGATAATATATTGACTTTGCTCTAGCTGATGCTTTTACTAACCCTCATCTCAGCGGCATTTTAGCTCCATGTTGGTGAACGGTATCTAGCAATCCTATCTGTAGGGCATGGTGGGAGATTTGCAGATGATCTGCCACACTCTAGTATTCCTCAGACTAAACCAAATGCCTCAGGTGGCTAGCAGCTGAATCCCAAATGATCCTCAGATGATCTGCAGTGCGTCTGTAATACACAGCTGAAAACACCACCAACCTGCTAACCAGAGAGAAGAGAGCAAACATCCCTGGTGCAAAACCAGCCGCTGTTGTTGCAATAATTGCGTTCCCACAGTTCGACAGCTGGAGGTGATGAATGGCAAATGCAAACCAACATGCACGATAGCGTCTTCGTGGTTTACACGGTATCCTCATGACAGCACGCCCCAAAAGCAAACTGAACTGAGAACTGGAGCGTCGAGGCCCTCTGCATACCCAAAGCCACTGTGCTACTTTGCCATGCCTCATTCTCCCCCAGACTTATCCCCTCTGCCAAAGCACTTCAGTCGTGCCCTGCAAGAACCCCAGCTGTGACCCAGCACAAGTCTGATCGTGTCTCTTAACCCTGACTTTTTATTCCAGCTTGAACCTCTAGAAAGCTCTGTCAGTGCAGCTCACTCCTTTCCAGCAGCCATCTCTTGCTGTTCCAGTACTGGCTTCCCCAGGGCTGTCTGTCCTGCACACACCTGCTGCCAGTCTCCTCTTGGCTCCTGTATTCCGGTGCAAACAGGGTATCAGGTTCCTTGTTTTCCATACGCACTTTCAATCCGCTTGTCTTTCTGTCCCCGGGCTGCTGGTTAGTTGTGTGCTGCTTGGCTAACAGTTCCCCATGGGCTTCAGGGACACCTACTAGGGAAGGTGAGAGACTCAGGGGTAGGTTTCCCCTAGCACTGTGAGCTCATTACTCCAGCTCACTGGAGAATCTGAGACTGAATTATTCCTTCCCTCCCAACTGAGCCCCTGTCAGGCCTGACTACAGCAAATGAGCAGAACACAAGATTTCTGAGAGGTGGTGTGAGATCCATGCTTCTGAAGTCAAGCCAGGAAAACAGGGTTAGTGGCATTTCTCAATGGTATGAACTTACATGGCTCCCGGTACCGTAGGATTTGGGCACTTCACTGTCTTTATCCTCACATCCCTCCACCATGAGGTGCTGTTATCCCCATCTGACAGCTGGGAAACTGAGGCATGACTCATGGTTCGCCTGAAATCACACAGGCAGGCTGTGCCAGAGCAGAGACTTGAACTCCGGTCACTTAAGTCACAAGAGGTAGCCCAACCAATGCACAATGGGTGGTGGGTATAAGAGGCATGGGGAGGCAATGCCTTCCCTGGGCCTTAGTGCTCAACATGTCCCTTCATTCTAGTCCTATTCTGACCATTCCTGAAGGTTCCCATCGCAGGCTGTTGCTGCTTGCAGACTGGTGACTCCTCCCTGGAAAGTGGATCTGTTAACTTAAAACTGAAAAGCCTTCCAGTTTGCCAGCTCTATTAGCATAACATTGAATCTGTGAAAGAGCCATTAAATGGTAATAACAATAAAGAGTTCAGTGGCGTTGTAAAGACGAACACATTTATTAGGGTATGAGCGCACAAGCTTTCGTGGGCTATAGCTCACTTCCTCAGATGCTGAAGAGAAAAAGAAAGACAGGAAGAAGAAGGGAAAAAAAAGGATACAGAGATGGGACTGAGACATCAGTGCTAATTGAATCCGAATGGCTGTGGCTCATCTCCAACAGTGTCGAGAAGGTGAGAGTACTCGAAGAGGAAAACCGCTTCACTCCTATTGGAATGGGAGAACCACTCCATGTGTTTGTTTAGTCCTTGGTTCACACTATCAAATTTGCATGTGAATTCCAGCTTAGCAGTTTCTCTCTGTAGCCTATTTTTGAAGTTTTCCTATCTGAAAACGGCAACTTGCTAATCTGAAACTGTGTGCCCAGGGAGGTTAAAGTGTTCCCCCCACTGGCTTCGGCATTGATCAGGTAGGTGCCAATCTTGAATTTAATGACAAAAACAGTTGTGTATTACTATGTTGCATAGTTGTGCATTACTATCCTTACAAGACCTTAGTTTAAAATTAGCTTTAAATATTTCATTAGCTTGTTGCTGAAGATTACAAACTCATATCTCTAAAAAATCCTTGTGTAGATATATAGATGCACAATCTGAGTATTCAGCTTTAGTCTTAAATGTTTGGATCTTCAGACATATCGTTTTTAAAATAAGTTCTTCAAAAGACCACCCTTCTGTAAAATAAACATTTTAATTTTAATTACTGTAATACAAAACTTGCTTCCAAAATCTTCCTACCTTTTCTAGTTATCTATCCCTACTCCCCTTTCACTCCCCTGTTGATGAGAGCCCTTAAAGCAGTGGTCCCCAACCTTTTGGGGCTGCCAGGCACCCGGGGGCGGGGCTGCTCACACGCTGGGCACCCAGGGGCAGGGCCACACATGTGCCTGTGGGCGGGGCCACCCATGTGCTGTGTGCCTGGAGCTGGCGCCACCCATGCGCCACACTCCTGGGGCTGGCGCTGCAACTGTGCTGCATGCCCAGGGGTGGGGCCGCTCATATGCCGCGCACCCGGGGCCGGAAGAGCCCATGTCCCACCGCCCATGCGCTGCGTGCCCGGAGCCGGCGCCTGTGCCACGTGCCCAGGAGCCAGCAGCGCCCATACGCCGCACGCCCGGGGCTGGGGCTGTCACAGACCTCACGCCGCGCACCCCAGGGGTGGGGCTGCCTAACTGCCGCGTGCCCGGGGCTGGCACTGACCATGTGCTGCGCGCCCAGAGCTGGCGCCACCAACGCGCCCAAGGGCTGACTCCACCCATGCGCTGTGCGCCTGGGGTCGGGGCCGGCCCTGATCACTTGGCGGGCACACAGAAATGGCCCGGCGGGCACCATGGCCACGTTGGGGACCACTGCCTTAAAGGAAAACTGTCCTTTTCTTCCAGATAGCTGGACAGGTGAGTTTCCCTTTTACTTCTGACTCTTGATGAACTAGTTTTAAGAGAACCTCACCACCAAAATCAGTCCTTAACTAAGATATACAATCTCTTGTTATGCCTAAAATCTTTGGAAACATATTTTAACATAACCATATAGTGAAATTTAATAAACATGTTTTGCTACAAAAATCATTCAAAATAAATGTGTTCCCTTTTTCTAAAAATAACAAACTTTGTTATGAACACGCTATAGCAGCCTGATTAATTTAAAATAATATCTTTGTTTCAGTGAGTTTCAATATGTAGTAATCTGGAATGATTACTTTATGAAGACATAAGAGTATATTTAACATATAAAATCAGCTTAGAAATATTGATGAAGAAAATGTAAAACAGAGAGGGGCTGCATCATGAATTCCCATTATGTTTAATGTTGTGTTCAGTGAGACAACTGACTTGCGCTTACTACAAAGCTTTTGCAAATAAATCTGAGACAAACTTCAGGGTATATCAAAAAACCTGTGATTGACATTATTATTTCCAAACTTAGTGCTTTTAATGAATCACTTTCTGCATGTCCAGTCTTCACAATACTTCTTAGCCTAGCCCTGAGGCCAGTCTCATGAGTTAGTAAGAAATCGACAAGCAAGAAGGGAATGTGAACCCAACCTCCCACTTGCTGGTCACACACCCAACCTGTAAGTTGGACAGAGTTGCTTGCTGGGGCTTTGGCCTGATGAATATGTGCTGAAAGAGGAGAAGCTTGAGCAGAAAAGAGCAAGGGAGGCTCCAGGTCAGAATAGCACCTAGCCCAGGACTTCACTTGAGAGGTAAGAGATGAAAATTAAAATCCCTTCTCAGCAAGTGTAAAGGGGGATTTGAATCCCAAGCTTACACATGCTAAGCACACGCCCTAACTGTGAGGCTCCACAAGGCTGCTTGCAAGTCTTGCAAACCACCCCATGAATATGGAATGAAAATGGAACAACTCTAGCAGAATAGGATGAGGCAGCAAACACCAGGCCATCCCCAGGAAGCCACTTCTTAGTTCAGCAGCTGGACGTTCACTTCAGAGACAGCTGCTCAGGTCCCTTCTCAGGAAGTTGAGGAATGGGTTGAACCCACACAACTGGACACCCAGACCGTTGTACTACACAGGGATTCAGCAATTAGACCTTCCCTAATTTCTACTTGATAACAATGGCACAGCCTCAAGCCACTACAAGGCACAACCCACCTTAGC